TCCTCCTCCTCCTCTCTTTTTTCTTCCCTTTAAGTTTTTCCGGAAACACTTTGCAAGAGCAATCATTTAGTTTTCCAACCAGAATTTTTAATACTTTCTCCTTCGCCATTTTTGAAGGATGGGGTATGTAGAGATGTTACTAACTCCCATGTTGGTTTATTTCTTCAGATTTCTTGGTCAATGATGTATCTATCAAAGGATGTGCTTCTGAGAGTTTGTGCACTTTACTTCAGAAGAAATTCTACTCACATTTAGTGGAATGGGAACTAGACATCAAATGCACCCCAGTCTTCCCACACTCTTCCCAGTGATGTATATAGCTGCACGTCAAGGCCATCGCTTCCACCTCACTAGAGCTTAGGAGCCAACATGGCTGATTCTGTTTTAGTCAGCTTTCAACAGAATTCTCGTTCTTCTGGAAGTTTCCTACAATGAATGTGAAAACTAACTTGAACCATGGTTCAATCAATAAAGCAGTTACTTTAAAAAGAATTCCATTCTGGTTCCGGGTTTGATTTGAGCAAATGACTGTGGTAGAAGCAGGTTTGGGGTGTCCTGTCATGACACCACTCAGTGTGGTGCTCATTTCCACTTCTGGACTGGCATCCACAGAGGGATAAAATCAAGATCATGTGAAGTATTAGTGTCACTTTATAAGGCTTTGATAAGACCGCATTTGGAATACTGCATCCAGTTTTGGTCACCAAGATATAAAAAAGATGTTGAGACACTAGAAAGGGTGCAAAGAAGAACAATGGATGGAAGCTAACCAAGGAGAAAAGCAGCCTAGAACTACTTGAGCAGGGATTTGGACTAGAAGACCTCCAAGATCCCTTCCAATTCTGATGATGACGATGATCATAACATTGGGTACAATTCAACTGGTGGAAATTCTGATCCCAATGGTATTCATAATTTGACGATTATCTGTACGTGCCTATAAACCTTTATCCAAGTTCTGTGATGTTCATTTAGGTGTTTTTTTTAAACAGTAGCCAAGTATGAATAAATGGCTTTGCTAGCATTCTCACTGTACTAATATTAACTTTGGAAGATTGGGACATGGGTGCAAGACTAAGGATTACACCACACTTGCCCAAAACAAATGAAACCCTCATAAGAGAACATCATGATTCTGGAACATCTGATACCACATATATAACTATTAATATAAATACAACTTGTAAATTATTACTGAAGCTTAAGAGTGGACTCAGGGCCTATGTTTCAATGGAAGCCACCTGGAATAGTTTGCAGAGGCTGGAGATCTCATGTAAAGATGCCTAGAATCCTGCTTAATGAACTAACCCATTTTCTGATGATAGCTGTTACCAGTAAGCATCACCAGCAGTCCTCAATTTACGACCACCATCGGGAGATAGAATTCCCATTGCTAAGCAAGGTGGTTGTTAAGTGAGACACATCCGAACCTTTTTTTGCCACAGTTAAGTACTTAGATAGGATAACAGAGTTGGAAGTTACCTTGGACGTCTTCTAGTCCAACCCCCTGCTCAAGCAAGAGACTTTATACCATTTCAGATAAATTGTTCTCCAATCTCTTCTTAAAAACTTCCAGTGTTGGACCACCCACAACTTCTATACACAAGCTGTTCCTCTGGTCAATTGTTCTCACTATCAGGAAATTTCTCCTTAGTTTTAGGTTGGTTCTCTCCTTGTTTGGTGTTCATCCGTTGCTTCTTGTTCTGCCTTCTGGTGCTTTGGAGAATAGGTTAATCCCTTCTTTGTGGCAGCCCCTTAAATATTGGATCACTGCTATCATGTCACCCCTAGTCCTTCTCTTCATTAAACTAGACATACCCAATTCCAGCAATCGTTCTTCATATGTTTTAGCCTCCAGTCCCCTAATCATCTTTGTTGCTCTTCTCTGCACTTTTTCCTAGAGTCTCAATGCCTTTTTTAATATCGTGGTGACCAAAACTGGATGCAATATTCCAACTGTGGTCTTACCAGCCAGGTTAAAGAGTTTGAGTAGTAGAATCTAATAAGGGGGCCCTGCCCACATCCTTTGGAACATCTTAGCCATCAAAGTGATGTGATATAGCCAGGAGATTGCTAACATTAACTGGCTGTCATATCTTCAAGGCTTCACACATTTTGCCTTGGATGGACTGTTCTTTAGCACCAACCAAGGGACACATGGGACATTCCGTGATTTAAGGGATGGCACAAATAGTCTATTGGAGTAGTTCCCACAAATAGTCTATTGGAGTAGTAGGTAGAAATGACATTAAATAGAAAATTGCCCCTCCTCCCCCAACAAAGTCAAAGTTTGCCTTGCATTTTGGGAAAAAAACACCTAGATTTGACCAATCCCATGCCATATGGACAGCATTGAACTGAATTCACATTGGCCATGGTAGATGTGTGGATGCCCTCCATACGTGGGACAAAACACCATTACTGAATTGTGATTGCAGGGCTGGAAGACAACATGTAGTGCCAAAATAGAGTTTATAATGGAGACTTTGCTGATTTCCTGGCTGTGACAAATGAAGTGAAAATTACATCTGTAATCTAGACGGATATTTATAATATTTATATGTTGGGTTTCATATTTTGTATTTTTATCTCTGGTGTTTTTATCAAAAAGTGATGTGAATGTGCCATAAGATAAATAAATACCCCCCGAGGTGAGGTGAGGCCCCACTCTTCTAGTCTTTCAGAAGAAGTTTTTGACCTGTCAATTAGCATGAGGGGTGGTGGTCTAAGAGTGTGATACAACTCTTAGACTCCCATGGGTGCAGTGTCTAGGACAACTCGCCATGGCCAACTTGCTGCAGGATAATTTATTTATTTATTATTTATTTAATTAATTTTATTTATATGCTGCCCAATCCCAAAAGGACTCAGGGCGGCGTACAAAATTAAAACAATCATCTAACAATAAAACAATAAAATAATACAATCATACCACGAGTCTGATCATATCCCGACCCCCCCCCCGGGACATCAGCCCCAGGCCTGTCGGAACAGGAGAGTTTTAATGGCTTTCTTAAAGGCCGGCAGGGTGGGAGTAGTTCGAACCTCGGGGGGAAGTTGATTCCACCAGGTCGGAGCCACCACAGAAAAGGCCCTTCCCCGAGGGCCCGCCAGCCGGCATTGTCTGGCCGACGGGACCTGAAGGAGGCCCAATCTGTGGGACCTCACCGGTCTCTGGGAACTGTGCGGCAGTATGCGGTCCTGTAAGTAACCTGGCCCTATGCCATGAAGGGCTTTAAAGGTGATAACCAACACCATGAATTGCGTCCAGAGACCCACAGGAAGCCAGTGCAGCTCGCGGAGGATAGGTGACACGTGGGCGTACCTTGGCGCGCCCACAATCGCTCTCGCGGCTGCATTCTGAACCAACTACAGCCTCCGAACGCTCTTCAAGGGTAGCCCCATGTAGAACGCATTACAGTAATCCAGTCTTGAGGTGACAAGGGCATGAGTGACTGTGAGTAAAGCCTCCCGGTCCAAATAAGGCCGCAACTGGTGCACTAGGCGAACCTGGGCAAAGGTCCCCCTGGCCACAGATGATAGACGTTGTTCCAAATTTAGCTGTGTGTCCAGGAGGACACCCAAGTTGCGTGCCTGCACTGAGGGAGGTAAATTCCCCCCCCCAGTACTAATGATGGACCATCCAGTTGGCCTTTGGGAGGCAAGACCCAGAGCCACTCGGTCTTGTCAGGGTTGAGTCTAAGCCTGTTCACCCCCATCCAGACCCTCACATCTTCCAGGCACTGGCACATCACGTCGACTGCTTCACTGAAAGGACACGGGGTGGAGATATATAATTGGGTATCATCCGCGTACTGATGATACCTCACCCCGTGTTGCCGAATGATCTCACCCAGCGGTTTCATGTAGATGTTAAAAAGGAGGGGGGAAAGGACCGAGCCCTGAGGCACCCCATGATCGAGGCACCTAGGGGTCTATCTCTGTCTGCCCGCCAACACCGACTGCGACCTGTCAGAGAGGTAGGAGGAGAACCACCGCAATACAGTGCCGCCCACCCCCACCTCTCCGAGACGACGCAGAAGGATACCATGGTCGATGGTATTGAAAGCCGCTGAGAGGTCAAGAAGCACCAGGATAGAGGAATGACCCTTATCCTGGGCTTGCCAGAGGTCATCGGTCAGTGCAATAATTTGGTTACTATTATTATTTGGTGACCATGTTTTTGTCAAAATTATTGTAACTCTCGTATTTCTCAGTTGACTTTCTTTATGATTATTATTGGCCACAGTTCCATAAAAATTAATTTCACTTTTGTATTTGTTGAATGGTTCCATGGAGAGTTGTCCAGTGGCAAGTTGGCTGCGTTGAGTTGGCCATGGAGAGTTGGCCATGCTGAATTGACCATGACTTGGCTGTGGTGAGTTCTCTCTGGGATGGCTGATGACTTGAAGGCAGTCCCTGTATCTTGCTAAACTTTTAGTCTTGTTAACCCTGATTTTATTTTTTACTTGTAATTTTGTAAGTTTTCACCTTATTTTTAATTCCGTCTTCCACTTGCATTTAATATTATTTTAATATTGTTTTACGAGGTTGTTTGGAAAAAACCCAGAGTCATTTAAGTGAGATGGGCAATGTGGAAATTTGATAAATGAATAAATAAAATCAAGGCTGTCCTCATCAGGGGTTCTGAGCCCAGGATGATTCATCCCTATGAGTCCTTGCTAATGTTCTTTTGAGCCTGGAACTGTTTGTCTAATGATGGTGCCTCTCTGGTTACTGACCTCAGCTTGGTTTATCTTTGGTTGGTTCCAGGATTGAACCGCTACATGATAGTTTGACTTGAGGGCTGTTATTGGACTTTGCTCAAGAGGGAGATAAATCCAATGGCTCAAGCCAATGAAAGCAAAGAATAAATGTGCTTACAAGGCTATGTTGTGAACATTGCAAACTTTCTAGATGGTCACCTAAGTTGACTACTTTGTGTTTGCTTTTTGATTGGTGGGCTGGCCCTAAATTACGGGGAGGGGTTTCTCATTTTTAAACTTGTGTTTGTTTCATGTTCTGAAGATTCTCTGGTTTCAGCAGAATCCAGAACTTCACTGAGGTCAACTTCTCCAGTCCAGCAGTGATCCTCACTAAAGAGCCATGAAATATCTACACACCATCTGCCTTCTTTTCATTTTCATAGCCAGAGGTAAGGAAATGACATTGCAGAATGTCCTGAGGCAAATGAGTTCCGACTCTTCGGTTGCCTTGTTTTCAATGTTCTCAATTTCTCCATCTTCAACATCATGCCATCTCCTTGGATGCAAGCATGAATTTATGTAGTCATCTGGAAGCAGGGGTGCAATGCTCTGCAGGCTTCTTTCTGTACTTAAGCAAACCTCAGTTCCACGTAGTTCTTGTCCCTCAGTCTTGAAAAGTTAGGAACCCCGAGAAGCTGAGTTTTGTGTAGGCATCCTTAGGTGTAATATGTACCTTCCTACTCCTGCTAACTTAATACCTAAGTTTTACCTTACTTAGGTATTACCTACCGGTTGCTGGAATTGGGTAGGTCTAGTTTAATGAAGAGAAGGACGAGGGGGGACACAATAGCCATGTTCCAATATCTCAGGGGCTGCTCCAAAGAAGAAGGAGTCCAGCTATTCTCCAAAGCATCCGAAGGCAGGGCAAGAAGCAATGGATGGAAACTAACCAGGGAGAGAAGCAACCTAGAACTGAGGAGAAGCTTCCTGACAGTCAGAACAATTAACCAGTGGAAGGGCTTGCCTCCAGAAGTTGTGGATGCTCCAACACTGGAGATTTTTAAGAAGAGACTGGACAGCCATTTGTCTGAAATGGTATAGGGTTTCCTGCCTGAGCAGGAGGGTTGGACTAGATGACCTCCAAGATCCCTTCTAATTCTGTTATTCTATATTCTAAATCTTTGTTCAAAACTTGGGCACTAAATTCAATAACCCCCGAGAGACAATTGGTCTCTGCAATTGGCTCCATTTGCCCAATGGCAACTTTATTATTATTATTATTATTATTATTATTATTATTATTATTATTATTATCATTATCATTATCATTATTATTATTCACACAGTCAGCCAGATGTTCAGACTGGATTTGGAATTTTTGTCTACCTATCGAGTCCTTACCAAGGACCTGGGCTAGGCAGATGTGGATGTTTGATGGTATTACAGATATCGTCATGGGATGGAAGCAGTTCCTAGTAAGGCTGCCTTTTGCAATTGACTAATGGAGAATTTGTCAATGCCAATAGTGTTCAAGTAGTGCTTGAATTGCAGCTTAATGACTGATAACTATTCACTAATATTTTCCACTTACTTGAATTGTATTGGACATAAGTTAGCTTGGAGGTTACGTGTATTATTTAACAACAAATCATTGGGTTGGAAAATGATAAATATAGAAGAACATTGTCTGGGTCTGTGACCAGTTCCTCTGGATAAATTGGATGAAGTTAGCTATTTCCATCTTCCAATTCTCAATCCAGTGTAACTGATACCATCATCTTGTAAAGCCTTAGAAAGAGCTGAAGAACATTGCAGCTTCTTTGATGCCATTGATTTATTTGTCTAGGGCAGGGATAGGCAACTTTGGCTCTTTCATGACTCGTGGACTTCAACTCCCAGAATTCCTGAGCCAGCATGGCTCAGCATGGAAACCTCTCCCTTTCCCCTCAGCATGGCTGGCTCAGGAATTCTGGGAGTTGAAGTCCATGAGTCATAAAAGAGCCAAGGTTGCCTATCCCTGGTCCAGAGAGATTCTCAGTCATCCAGGGCACGGTTGTCCCAAAGGTGCTTTTTCAGGAAGCAACTGGACTTCCTTTGTTTTTCCTTGAAGACGTTTTGCTTCTTCATCGAAGAATCTTATTCAGTTCAGCATCAGTTCAGAACTGAAGAAGCATCTTGGATGGGAAGTGAAATGTCTTCAAGACAAAATAAAGAAAGTCCAGTTGCCTCTTGAAAAACCACCTTTGGGGCATTACTTCATTTGTCTTATTCGTGTACTTCTGAATGCGGGTAAGTGATGTCACATCCACTGTGTCATCTTGCTAATGACATAAATGTTCTCTAACTCACTGAGGTCATTACAGGATCGGACGGCTGCAGGGATCAAGCCAGGTTATTACAGCCATGTAGCCAGAAACAGTAAAATATCCAATTGTATGCTACTTACATACATACATACAGAACAGAACAGAACAGAATAGAAAAGAAAATCTTTATTGTCATTGTGTATCTCACAACAAAATTGAATGCACAGAGCAAGATCTAATGATGAATAAGAACACATATAATAAAATTATTTTGAAAAAGTATTCTTAAAAAAAGGTGAACGTATCCAAACAAATGATGGTACAATGTCCTTGACTTACAGCCATTTGCTTAGTAACCACTTCATCTTTATTACTGCCAAAAGGCCAGCCCTATTAACTATTAAATAGCACAAAAAAAAGAGAGCCTTATCACTAGTTAATACAGTCCTATCAATGTTTGGATATATTCTACCGACATTTTGCAATCTCCCCTAAGTTAGGTATAAATTATTAAATTATTAAACAGATTTTACTGCACAGGGGATAAAGAAATCTCCTCCTTCTTACTGATAAAAGCAAAAAAGGATAAACAGACCCAAGGGCTGCAGTGACGTCATGTCACCATGCTTGTGGTGTCATCATGGCTTTGACCAGACGTCTCTTTTGCCCTCTCTGGGTGACCACATTCTGTAAGGTTTTTTCCTACCATCACCACTTGCAAGGCTATAACTGAACCTGTGATCTTCTGAATGGAAAGCACACACCTTATTTTTGAACCAATGCTGTCCCCATATCAACTCTCCTGAAATGACCAGTCTTTTTTCCTGCTCTTTAGAGCATTTCTCGATTTGCTAGTTAAGTTCCATTTATAACAACAACAACAACAACAACACCCCGGACTTAACAATTGTCGATAAGAAAGACAAAAAAGTCTGGATAGTGGACGTGGCAGTGCCTGGAGACAGCCAAATAGATGAGAAAGAACTGGAGAAGATAGCAAAATACAAAGACCTACAAATAGAAATAGAAAGACGGTGGCAAAAGCAAGCAAGGGTAGTACCAATAGTAATAGACGCTTTGGGTGCAATCCCAAAACAACTGGAGCACCACTTGAACGCTATCATCGGCATTGATAAATTTGCCATTAGTCAATTGCAAAAGGCAGCCTTACTAGGAACTGCTTCCATCCTGCGACGAGATCTGTAATACCATCAAACATTCACATCTGCCTATCCCAGGTCCTTGGGAAGGACTCAATAGGTAGAGAAAAATGTCAAATCCAGTCCGAACATCTGACTGTGCAATGATTAATAATAATAATAATAATAATAATAATAATAATAATAATAATAATAATAATAATAATAGTCTGGGCTTCAGGAATTGGATTCCTCACAAGTAATTGATCGGCCCCGACATTTCAGAATATTGAAGAACTCTGGGGAAGGCCACGGGATAATAGAATTAATCAGGCACACGTTTTTCTTTTTCTTTTTCAGGAAACTCTCGCTCGTGTGACTTTTGTCACAACATAGGAAAAGATTGCGATGGTTACGAACAGGAATGTTCCTCTCCAGAAGATGTATGTGGCAAGGTCTTGTTGGAGATTTCATCAGGTAAAACCACAGTGACCACTCCCCTCATTTCCTTCCAATAAAATGAGAATCTTCTCTAAGGCCCCCTTTCTCGACGGAGTAACTTTCTCAAGAGGGGTTTGTCCTGGTGACCACATGCACCGCCCTTGCCTATAGAGCAGACATGGCAAACACAAGGCCCGGGGGCCAGATGCGGCCCGCGAAGTGGTTTCATGTGGCCCGCAAAGCCATCCTGGAAACAGTGAGGGAACGGCCCCTGCTGCCTTGGCCCTGGCCCAGGCCGGCCGGGAGCTAATGTACAATTTTGTGGTGGCCATCTATGCTGAAACGCATTCAGTCTTAACTCCACAAGGCCGTCTGGAAACAGCGAGGAACCAGCCCCTGCCGCATTGGCCCCGCCCCCTGGGTGCATGGTGGGGAGGTGTCAACCTTTGTGAGGAAGGAAGAAATGGACCATGCCTTGGCACTTGCCCCGGTCCCCCGCTTCTGCCAGAGACCCTCAGATCTGTCCCACTCCTGCCCAGGCCCCCACAGGCATCCTTGATGAGAACGATGTAGAGCTGGCCATGCCCACCCAGTAGGCCACACCCACTCCATCCACACCCACCCAGTAGGCCGCACCCACCCTGGCCGCACCCACCCAGCCCCCCGAGGGCAACTGCAATGCTGATGCGGCCCTCAGTGAAATTGAGTTTGACGCCCCTGCTATAAAGGCTTCTTGGGAACAATGGGGAACAGTTTCCTTTAGCCTGCATTGTGAATGTTTTTATTTTATTTTCCATTCTAAACTAAAGCTTGGGGTTCCCCAAGGGCTGTTGCCCCCCGGAATTAACCTGACCAAGTTGTCAAGGTTAACTGACTGATATCATACCTGTTGGTATGATTCCGAGCAATTTCTGGCTTAAGCTAAATTTCTCCCAGGAGCATCATTCTCCACTGTTCTGTAAAAAAAGAAAATATTTTGGAATTTCCCACAGAGAAGATTCTGAACAGATTCCAACAGGCTTTAGTTTTCCTGACATTTCCTATTGTGATTCTGACCATAAAGATGGCATCTGGGCCTCCCCTATGGAGTTTTTACAGGGTATGAATTAAATGAATTCTAATATACATAGTGGGCAAGGAAGTAAAACAATAACCTCTCAGAAATAACAACTTATTTGCACCTGCCCAAAAGAAACCAAAATAAGGGGGGGGGCACTTACAGAAAATAGTACAATGAAATAGTCCAAATTCTCTTCTGTAGTATAATAATCAGAAGCAATTATGTCCCCAAATCTGTGTAATATAAAAAGGAAATCAAATCTGGCCCTTGTAATCTGGGAAATTTATTTACTAATTATGGCTTGGGTGCACACAATAAATTAACCTAGACTAGCTACAGGCTTGAAAATGTATTTGGACACCGAACTGGATGGGGAGTTTGCTTCTTATGGCTGCAATAAATATGGGGCAGACTCTACAGCAATAGCACTTAGATTTATATACTGCTTCATGGTGCTTTTATAGCACTCTCTAAGCAGTATTGCCCTCAACAATCTGGGTCCTCATTTTACTGACCTCGGAAGGATGTAAGGCTAAGTCCACCTTGAGCAGGTCAGGATCAAACTCCTGGCAGTGGGCAGAGTCAGCCTACAATGCTGCATTCTAACCACTCCACCACCATGGCAGATACAGACAGACAGACAGACAGACAGACAGACCTACCTCTCTAAGCGGATTAGAGCGTCAGCCTATTTGCGCCCAACAATCTGGGTCCTCATTTTACCGAGCTCAGAAGGATGGAAGGCTGAGTCAACCTTGAGCAGGTCAGGATCAAACTCCCGGCAGTGGGCAGAGTCAGCCTGCAGGGCTGCATTCTAGCCACTGCGCCACCACCATTTTGTAAGATACAAAAATATAAAAGAAAATAGTAGGAAAATAAGGGAGGAAAAGAGGGAAGGGAAAGGTGTGGGGCAAAGGGAAAAGAAAGAAAGAAAAAGCATTTATTTCCAACTCCCTTTGGTGCAATAGAATAAAATAATGACATCAAACCTCAACTTTTTACTTTTACGTAACAGTATAAACTAGCCCAGGGGTAGGATACCTTGGCTCTTTTATGACTCGTGGACTTCAACTCCCAGAATTCCTGAGCCAGCCATGCTGAGGGGAAAGGGAGAGGTTTCCAAGCTGAGCCAGGCTGGCTCAGGAATTCTGGGAGTTGAAGTCCACGAGTCATGAAGGGGCCAAAGTTTCCCCCATGCTGGCTCAGGAATTCTGGGAGTTGAAGTCCATGAGTCGTAAAAGAGCCAAGGTTGCCTAGCCCTGTCCTAAGTCGTCCTGTTCTAAGTGGTAAGCCTCCTAGTCCAGGGGTAGGCAACCTTGGCTCTTTTATGACTCGTGGACTTCAGCTCCCAGAATTCCTGAGCCAGCCATGCTGAGGAGAAAGGGAGAGGTTTCCAAGCTGAGCCATGCTGGCTCAGGAATTCTGGGAGTTGAAGTCCACGAGTCATAAAAGAGCCAAGGTTACCTACCCCTGAACTAGCCGTTTCTATAACAAGTCAGTTTTTTTTAGTGCTGTTCCAACTCCGAGCAGTCACTAAAGGAAGGGCTGTAAGCCGGGGACTGCCTGTATTGATTCATAACATTGATTCATAAGACAATTGCCATATGATGACCGGTGTCTGGCGGAGAACAGCAGGGGGGAGACAAGGAACATCTGCTCCATGAGGACTTCATACAGTTTATTGGGATGTTTCAGAATTGCCCTTCCCTAAAGCTTGTATCAGCTATAATGGTTAAACCAGTAACAGCCTTGGGGCTTCCAAAACTCCCCAACTCTCTCCGGGTTTATTCAAAGTAAAAGTTGCCCTCACTTCTCAGAGATCATAATAGCAATACAGGAGCCGGGGGGGGGGGGAGGTCTGTGAAATTTTTCTCGACTTGTAAATAACACGTACAGTAGATATTGGGCACTTGCATTTGCGAGTTGGCTATTGCTTTTGAAATATATTTTTGCTTGTGTGAGTTGTATGATCTCCTGGGCGTTTAGCATGATATCTCATCAAATCAACAGCTCTACCAAGTTAACCCTCCCTTCCTTTTTTTCCCCCCTTCCTTCGCACAGCATCGCTGTCATTCCGAACTGTGCATAAGAACTGTTTCTCATCCAGCGTCTGCAAACTTGGGCAATTTGATGTAAATGTTGGGCATCACTCATATATAAGAGGAAGAATCAATTGCTGTGAGAAAGAACCGTGTGAAGACCAACCGTTTCCAGGTATGTTTGCTCAAGAAGGACTAGGATCCTGATCTCCCAACATGCTCCTTATTTCAGAGGGTAATACTTTATAGGCAGGGGAGACTTCTTTCCTGCCCTGTCAAACTACCTCCCTCACCATCTAATACAGTGGTTCTCAATCTTTTTAATGCCGCGACCCCCAACTGGTCGTAAGTCGAGGACTACTCATCTGGTCATAAGTCAAGGACTACTCAACTGGTGCAGCACTGTTTGCAGAATGGGACAACAGGGCAGAGACAGCCTGGACAATTCTTATTGGCTTTTGAAAGCCAATAAAATTAGACTCTATTCAAGAAAGTCTATTCAAAAGCCAATAGAATAAAAGGGAGTAGCACAGCTAAGGAAAAGGGGAAAAAAATGGCGGACTGTGTTGTTTGGCGACTCCCGTGAAATGGTCGTTCGACCCCAAATGGGGTCCCGACCCACAGGTTGAGAACCACTGATCTAACAAATACAAACTGATTTTGTCCTGGCTGGCAAGCTTTTATGTTTTTTTTTTTTAAATCCAATTTGCCAATGTTGGATAAACATAGTATTGACCTTGATTTAATGGGTTTAAGCTTCCCTCGTTGATCTGAGGTTTAAGAGTTACTGTTCCATAAGAACAGCAGGTCATGAGATTAGCCGAGCTTGCAAATTAACTAAAGTTGCAGAAATGGTGAAGCTGAGCAGTTTGATCTGAGGAAAAAAAAAATGATAAAGACTTTAAAAAAAAAAAACTGACTGAAACCTAATATGGATTTTTATTGAAAGAAGAAGAAAAAAAAAAAACAGACGGATGATTTGGGAGTTAAAAATGAGGTGAAGAGGTTTAAAATGAGCATTACTTGATGGTAATTATGAAGAATTCCGGGAACTGAAGTCCATACATCTTCAGGTTGCTGAGGTTAAGAAACACGGCTTTCTACTTTGCTCAGTTTTTGCTCCAGGGTTAAAGCCTGGCAATTCTCAGATGATCAGGCTAGGCAATGCTTCCACCTGCCAGTTCTGAAACTGATAAAGAGGGGAGAAAATTGAATTTAATTAAGGATCTTCTGGAACTTCTCAAACTTCTTTATAGACAGGTTGGGGAGAGCTTCAGTTGGTGTTTGCTTTTAAAACACAGTGAAGCACAATCTGCACAGTTGCTTCTCCAAGTTGGGGCAGCGCAAAGATCAAAAGAATTTTGCAAGCCGGTTTAAAGCACCTTGAGAGAGCACATTCTCCACGCACAGAGGGCGGTGTCACAGGGAAACTGGTGAATTAGCACCAGGAAGACCCAGATTCGATTCAGATGCTAATATTCCCTGGGGGATTTTAATCTGGTCACGTTCTCTCAATCCTACCCATCTCATAGTGTCATTTTGGGAGAAAATTGGAGGAAGATAGCCTGTGTATATCCCTTGAATGAAAGAGCGGAATACAAACAGGAAAAAAAAAAAATAAACAAGAAGGACCGCAAGGGTTCTGCCTTGCTTGGCATCTTTCAAGAGTCTACTCTGGCCCACCTAAAGAGGTTCAGTGTGAGGGCAGAGATGTAGAGAATCTTTTCCTTCCCCCCACTTTCAAGAACTCAAAATGCTTGAGCAAAGTTGGAGGAGCACAAAGGACTTCAGTGAGCTTGATAAGGACATTTTCAGTTCATTTCAGGGCCAAACGCTGTATGAACATTCTGTTTGCACAACGTGTGCATGCTCATCCTGGGAAGCTCAGCTGTTTGATGGATTGATTGCGTGCCATCAAGTCCTTCCTGATTCCTAGTGATCACATAGATTTCCTCCCCAATGTTCTGTCTCTCACCTGGCCTTCACCTGTTCCAGTGGTGAGCCCATTAGCAATATAGCTAAGTCTACCCACCTTGCTGCTGGTCATCTTCTCTTTCCTTCCACCTTTCCCAGCATTACAGCCTTCTCCAGAAAGCTACGCCTTCACAAAATGGGTCTGAAATAGGATCATTTGAGCTTGGTTATGTGTACTTGATAGGATCAAACTAGGTTATCCAGTTCTTCCCAATCTCAACTCCAGCTGTTCCTGGTAGGCAGGTACAATATTGTCTCTTTCTTGTTAAGCATAACCATAAGCAAGAATGTCTATGGAGATTCTCAGTCATCCAGGTCATGGCTGTCCCAAAGATGTTTTTTTCAAAAGGCAGCTGGACTTTCTTTGTTTTTCCCTGAAGACATTTCGCTTCTCATCCAAGAAGCTTCTTCAATTCCGACTGAGTAGTGGAGGATGGATTTATATTCCTTGCACTCTTTCTGAGAGTCATTGAGGCCACTTGGAGGTTTATCTGTGCCCTCAGGCTCTCCAGAATCGTGCAAATGGGTGTGGCACCACCTATTTCCTGTTTACAACACAGTCCTTTCAGCAGTTCCAAGAAGGTTCCACAGCCATTTGCAATATTCAGGTAACCCTGAGGCCACAAATAAACCTCTAAGTGGCCTCAATGACTCTCAGAAAGAGTACTGATGACCAGATGACCACGAATGGGAATGTCTAGGGCAGGGGTAGGCAACCTTGGCTCTTTTATGACTTGTGGACTTCAACTCCCAGAATTCCTGAGCCAGCCATGCTGAGGAGAAAGGGAGAGGTTTCCAAGCTGAGCCAGGCTGGCTCAGGAATTCTGGGAGTTGAAGTCCACGAGTCATAAAGCAGCCTAGGCCTAGGCCAGAGGTAGGCAACCTTGGCTCTTTTATGATGTGTGGACTTTAATGCCCAGAATTCCTGAGCCAGCCGTGCTGAGGAGAAAGGGAGAGGTTTCCAAGCTGAGCCATGCTAGCTCAGGAATTCTGGGAGTTGAAGTCCACCAGTCATAAAAGAGCCAAGATTGCCTACCCCTGGTCTATGGAGATTCTCAATCATCCAGGTCATGGTTGTCCCAAAGGTGCTTTTTTTAAACAGCAACAACAACAACAAATGGACTTTGTTTTGTTTTTCCTCGAAGATGTTTCCCTTCTCATCCAAGAAGCTTCTTTAGTTCTTTTTTTTAGAACTGGAGAACTGAAGAAGCTTCTTGGATGAGAACGAAACATCTTCAAGGAAAAACAAAGGAAGTTCAGTTGCCTTTTGAAAAAAAGCCCCTTTGGGACACGAGCAGGAATACGAAGGGGGTGGAAATTGTATTGGGTTAACGTTTTGTTGATGGTATTCCAAAGTTTACACAGCACCGTAAATGCGTGCCCTTTTGAAAAAGTTGACAGCAGACTCTACAGAATTCCCAGACCTTTGTTTGGCATGAATGATCTTTTTGCTGATCTTTCACTTCCTTTTTTTATTGTTATTGTTGTTGTTTCATTGTTTTATTTTGCAGGACTGCCCCTCTCCCAACCAAATGGATACTATTGCCCTGGCGCAATTGGCCTTTTTACGAAGGACAGCACTGAATATGAAGCTATTTGCAAAGGAACTGAGACTAAGTGCATTAACATCGTGGGACACAGATATGAACAATGTAATTCTTTTTTTTTTTAAGTGATTGTGGGCTGCAGCAATCATACAAGGCATGATGCTGTCAGTGGAAGCTGAAATGGGCAAATGATCACCTCCACTGCACTGCAGAATAGAAATAGCCCCCCCAAAAGAACCTACTTTATTTTGCAATGTTTGGTAACAAGAGAAATAATAGTGTAAAGATATTTTTCTAAGCCAGTGGTTCTCAACCTTTTTAATGCCGCGACCCCCAACCGGTCGTAAGTCGAGGACTACTCAACCGGTCGTAAGTCGAGGACTACTCAACTGGTGCAGCACCGTTTGCAGAATGGGACTTTTGGCGGGCTCAGCAGGGCAGAGACAGCCTGGACAATTCCTATTGGCTTTTGAAAGCCAATAGAATTAGACTCTATTCAAGAGAGTCTATTCTATTGGCTTTCAAAAGCCAATGGAATAAAAGGGAGTAGCACAGCTAAGGAAAAGGGGGAAAGAAAATGGCACACTGCGTTGTTTGGCGACCCCTGTGAAATGGTCGTTCGACCCCAAATGGGGTCCCGACCCACAGGTTGAGAACCACTGTTCTAAGGTGTAAAGGCAGCAGTTACTAGGTCCAAAGTCAAAAATTCCCTCACTGTGTGGTATGTATTTGCATAATGATTACCTTGCTTTACAAGATGGTTATAACAGTATGAAATCAAAGTGGGTGGGTGTGTTCATACAACATGCTTAATGTGGTAATTGGGGGGGGGAAACATAATATCTTGAACTAAGTGAAGGATGCTGACATAATTCCCTAAGCCACAGGTTTCCAAACTTGGCAACTTTAAGACTTGTGGACTTCAAATCCCAGAATTCCTCAGATCCCTGTCCTAAGTCAATGTTTCTCAAGCTTGATAGTTTGAAAATGTGTGGACTTCAACTCCCAGAATTCCCCAGCCAGCATGGCTGGCTGAGGAATTCTGGGTGTTGAAGTCCATACATTGTCAAGTTGCCAAGGTTGAATCAACCTAGAAATAGGGAGAGATTTCCTGACAGTGAGAACAATTAATAAGTGGAAGAGGTTAAAAACCTGACTGGAGGTTTTTAAGAAGAGATTGGAAAACCATCTGTCTGAAATGGTATAGGATCTCCTACTTGAGCAGGGGTTGGACTAGAAGACCTCCAAGGGCCCTTCCAATGCTGTTATTCTGTTTTTCTGACCCGCATCTTGTTGGTTATTTCTGCAGTTCCTGGAGACATCTCTTACAATCTCAAAGGCTGCGTTTCTTCCTGTCCTCTGCTGAGTTTGAGCAATGCAACCTTTGAACAAAACAGAAATTATCTGGAGAAAGTTGAATGTAAGGACGCCATCAGATTGGCAAGCCTCTGAAGGTCAGCAATTTCATCCCATAGAACCGGCATCATTGAAATGACTCTGAATGGAAACTTACAGTTTTAAGTTGTGATTCTTCCTGCTGACTAATTCTTAGAATTAAAAAAGAAAAAAGAAAGGAAAAGAAAAGAAGCCCACGGGCTGAGTTGAATTTTCTATTTGTGTTTAGTGTTCTTTTTAGTTGATTTTAATTTTAGTTTGGGCTTTCTTTCCAGAGGAAAGCGGTATGTTCACAATGGTTATATATGAAATCTAATCTTTGATGAAAACATTAAGTTCATTTGTTTTATTTATTTGATGGATTTATTCCTTCCTTACCAATGCTGGCTGGGGAATTCTGGGAGTTGAAGTTCACACATCTTCAAGTTGCCAAGGTTGAGAAACATTGCTCTAGAGCAGGGATCTACAAACTTGGCCCTTTTATGACTTGTGGACTTCAACTCCCAGAATTCCTCAGCCAGGCACAAGTCATAAAAGGGCCAAGTTTGAAGACCCCTGCTCTAGAAGCTCAAGGAAATGTGCACAGCACTCCCTCTACCAATTTTTCCTTACAAAAACAATCCTGTGAGGGAGATTGATTGAAAGAAAGCAAATATCACAAAGTCATTCAGTGAGCTAGTGGTAGATTTCTGCCCACATCAACACAGGACATTTATTGGATAGTGAACACATTCATGGCCAACTTGAAGGGTGAAGGATAGTCAAGGACTAAGGCTGCTGAGACTTGTAGTCAACAACATTGAGGGGTTGTCTAGGATGCTTGTTGTTTTGGCCATCAGGGCCAAAGGTGGGCTATGTCTATGTTGATAGAGTATCTACTGTATGTAACAGGAGGTCCAGCTGGGAAGGGAAGCAAAAATACAAGCTAAAGAATGGCATAGCCATCCATACCAGACCAGGCAATGAAGAATTTGCTGTCAGGCATGAACAACCAGACTCACCTGTGTAGAGTTCAAACTAGCTACTTTATTGTTCTATGCCTATTGTACAGGAATCTTCCCAAACTGGCAAATTCACCTCGGAAAGACTAGATAAGGCTCAAAAACATTCAAGGGGCAAGGACACCTTGCCCTCTTGTGTTTATGTAACGACTCCATGCTAATTCCCCATTTGATCCCTCCTCTCAGCTGGGATGGCTGTTCTTCAACACTTGGTTAGCAATATCTGGAGGATATTATACAACAAAAGACACCCATCAACTTGGTCATCGCACATAGATGCTCACACTTCCAGCAGTGATGAAGCAGGCTCTCCCAACTCCCAGTGAGTCAGACAAGAGTTTATTTTTTTTCAAAAATTTATTCAATCCATTTATACAGCCACCCATCACAAAGTCATGACCCTGGGCAGCCCAAAACATTAAAATAAATAAAATGTACATAACAATACAAAAAATGAAACACAGAATACAACAAGCCAAAAAATAAAATAAAATAAAAACAGCCATCAACATAACCAGGAAACAGGTTCTGTTACACACCTGGGACCCCATTCTTTAGCATGAAACCATCTTCAAGTCTTCCATTCTATAGAACCACCATCTTCTGAGAACAGACCAACACAGTATCTACCTAACCTCAACCTTAGCCATTTTAAGATGGATGGACTTCAATTCCCAGAAGTCCCCAGCCAGCCATGCTGGCTGGGGAATTCTGGAAGTTGAAGGCCACCTATCTTAAAATTGCCCAAGGTTGAAAAATACTGGTTTACACATCCACCACGTGCTTTACACATCCACCATGTGTCAACATTTGTTTCCTTTAACCATTGCTTTAGAGCAGTGTTTCTCAACCTTGACATTTTAAGGCATGTGGACTTCAACTCCCAGAATTCCACAGCCAGCAACGCTGGCTGTGGAATTCTGGGAGTTGAAGTCCACATGCCTTAAAATTGTCAAGGTTGAGAAACACTGCTTTAGAGTATAGTAGCCTTGGGGGTGGGGCTTGCCTTGCTCCTTCTGGAGGGCCCCCAAGATGCAAAAGAAACCACCACTTATATAATTTAGACGATCTGAGTTCTTCTGAATCTGTAAAGGCTACGATCTGCATAAGGCCTAAGGGCTGAAGAAGTTGGCCAAGAGGCTGTCCAGGAGAAAAGTCTCAGCCAGGAAGTCATCAAGCATAGATCTCCACAAGTAAGAATCCAGCAAACACGTGGAAGAAGAAACTGACTCTGGGGGATGGTACAGTTGTGGCTTCTGCAGTGGCTGGCCTGCAGCTTCCTCTACCAAATAGAAAGAGCGTGGCAAAATAGACCGATCCCTCATGAAACAGCTCGCAGAAGGCGGGGTTGACACAGCCCTTCATGGCAAACTTTATCATGGTGGCCACTTCATCTGTGGAGACAATTGGAAATTTTAGACTCCTTTTCCCCCAGCCTAGCCAACTCACTTGGAATTCCCAGCAGTTCCACATCCTGCCTGCTGTGATATTACTATTGGAGGAAGAGGAGGAGGAGGAGGAGGAGGAGGAGGAGGAGGAGGAGGAGGAGGACAAGGACGAGGAGGAAGAGGAGGAGGAGGAGGAGGAGGAGGAGAAGAAGAAGGAGGGGAGGGGGAGGAGGAGGAGGAAGAGGAGGATAAGGACGAGGACGAGGAAGAGAAGGAGGAGAAGGAGAAGGAGAAGGAGAAGGAGGAGGAGGAGAGGAGGGCGAGGAGGACGACGAGGAGGAGAAGGAATCGCAGTCATCCAGCTTTCAGACTGGACCTGGGATAGGCAGATGTGGATGTTTGATGGTGTTACAGATCTTGTCACAGGATAGAAGCTGTTCCTAGTAAAACCACCTTTTGCAATTGACTAATAGCGAATTTGTCAATGCCAATGGTGTTCAAGTGGTGCTCCAGTTGTTTTGGGATTGCACCCAAGGCACCTATCACTATTAGTACTACCCTTGCTTGCCTTTGCCACAGTCTTTCTATTTCTATTTGTAGGTCTTTGTATTTTGTTATCTTCTCCATTTCTTTCTCGTCTATTCTGCTGTCTCCAGATGCTGCCACATCAAACTATCAAGACTTTTTTTGTCTTCCTTATTGACAATTGTTAAATCTGGGGTGATATGTGGCAGGTGCCTGTCTGTTTGAATTATTATTATCACCAATCAATCATCGCACAGTCAGCCAGATGTTCAGACTGGATTTGGCATTTTGTCTACCTATCGAGTCCTTACCCAGGACCTGGGATACTATTATTATTATTATTATTATTATTATTATTATTATTATTATTATTATTATTATTATCATCATCATTATCATTATCATTATCATTGCACAGTCAGCCAGATGTTCAGACTGGATTTGGCATTTTGTCAACCTATTGAGTCCTTACCAAGGACCTTCGATAGGCAGATGTGGATGTTTGATGGTATTACAGATATCATCATCATCATCATCATTATTATTATTATTATTATTATTATTATTATTATTATTATTACTATTGAGCCAGTTTGAATAAGGGTTAAGGCACTAGGCTAGAGACAGTGATGTCTATGGAGATTCTCAGTCATACAGTCATGGTTGTCCCAAAGGTGCTTTTCAAAAAGCAACTGAACATTCTTGGTTTTTTTTTTTCCTCTTCTTGAAGACGTTTTGCTTCTCATCCAAGAAGCTTCTTTAGTTCTGCAGCATCCCACAGTCTGAATATAAATGCTGGCTTTCAGCAAAAACATTGTAAAATGTGGTCATGTGACGGTGGGATGCTGCAAACAGCTGTAAATGCAAGACGGTTGTCGAGTGCTTGACCTGTGGTCACATGACCAGGGAGGGTGCCAGAAAATTGGAACTGGGTTGTCAGTAGCCCTGGGGAGGTCCATTGTACTTTCCAAAGGTCACTAAGTGATGAGTCATAGGTCAAGGACTACTTGTAATTACCCCAAATAATTAACTTTTGATAACTCAAAGACTTGAGAATGCCATGGCTGCATTCGGAGGCGCAAAGTATACTTTGAGGAGTAAGAAAGCCTACCTGTAGCACCTGTTGGCAACTCCTTGACGCAACCCCATCTTTCTCTGAGATCGCACAGGTATCACCTGCACTGCAATTTTGGGGAAAGATGGCATTGACATGACAATTTGCCACACCCAACTCGCCATAAGACAATTTACCATGGCCAACTTAACATGGCCAACTCACCATGCCAACTCAACATGGCCACCTCGCCGTGGGACAACTCTCTGCGGGAGAAGAGTTACACTAATACCAAAGAATTGGTAGACTAGAACCATTAAAGAAAGGATGAAGAAGGAGGGACAGAATGAAATGTGAATGGCCAAAAATAAAATACTATTTTATTTACATTTTAAAAAATTAAATAAAATTGTTAAAGGGTCCAGCAGTGAGTTGGCCGTAGTGAGTTGGCCCATTCTGCATTGGCTAGGTCTGTGGGAGAGAGAGAGAGAAAGGGAAAGTCAGAAAAGAAAAAGGAAAAAAAGATAAGAAAAAGAGAGGGTTGTTACCATGTGCTTGCAAAGTGCCGTATCCACCCCAGTCAGCTTCTCCAGCTAACTCAAGGCAGTAAGTCTGATCTCCTTTGCACAAAATAGTTTCTTCCCATGTGCAGTAGGTACGTTCTTTAGCAAAACAGCTTTTGCATTTGTTCCCATTCGGTGTTGCATTTTCAGAGGGCACTGCATTAAAAAAAAAAAAAAACCAAATAAAATGACACCATCATGTATACGCATACATTCAAACTAGACTGTGATATTTCTCTGTGCCATATATGTATACGTGTGTGTGTGGGGGATATATGCATAATGGTATTTTTTGAGAGCTTAATGCAATGAAATTTCATTTTAATGTATGCTGATTAGTGTACATTTAAAGTGACAATGAAGTTTTACTTCTATTCTTATTCTATTCTAACTGCTCAGAATTCATGCTGGCTAAGGAACTCTAGCAGATGAATTCCATCCATCTTAAATTTGCCCCAGTTGGGAAACACGATATCTAGTTCTCTTCATAGTTCATACCTTAATTTTGCATAAACTCTTTTTGTGTGTGTGCATTTGGGGCTACTTTTCTTGGGAACGGTACGTGGGGCCACAAACTGCAATGGGGATTTTCAACCATAAATAATGCAATGCAATGGAATGGAATACTCTATTTGGCCAAGTGTGATTAGACACACAAGGAATTTGTCTGTTATTTCTAATAATGTGTGTTTAATAATGCAGGGATAACAGTCAGGAAAAATATCTATGGACAGTCTCAGTCATCCAGGTCATAATTGTCCCAAAGATGCTTTTTTCCTCCAAAAGGCAACAAAGGACTTCATTTTTCCCTGAAGATGCTTCTCATCCAAGAAGCTTCATCAGTGCTGACTGAATGGCAGCAAATGGAAGGATCTATATTCCTTGAGTCATCTGGTCATTAGCACTCTTTCTGAGAGTTGCTGAGGCCACTTGGAGGTTGATCTGTGCCCTCAGGCTCTCCTGAATAGTGCAAACGGGCGTGGAACCATCTATCTCTTGTTTATCACCCAGTCCTTTCAGCAGTTCAGTAGAGAATGGCCTACATACAAGGGGGCAGAGCTTTTAAGCATGCAGCGCCAGAACAACAGGTCAGCTTGGATGAGATAACCCCTCTGTCCCCCAGGTCCACACTGGTGATGTTTTCATAGCAGCTATTCGCTTGGACACAGGCTTTTCTTGTCATAAATTTTCCACCTGTAATGATGAAGGAGAAAGAAATGTTTCAGTCCTAAATGGTGGCCACAGGTTGACCATCTCCAGCTAGAGACACTTTATATCAGGGGTGGGCCATTAATTTTCCCAAGGGGCCACGTGAGAAACAGCGACTTTTGCGGTGGGCCTAATCAAGAGGGCTGGAAAGATGTGTGGTCATGCACACATGCACCTATGTAAATTGGAAAAAAACAAACTGAATAACAGAATATAACAGAATAACAGAATTGGAAGGGACCTTGGAGGTCTTCTAGTCCACCCCCCTGTTCAGGCAGGAAACCCTATACCAGTGATGACGAACCTTTTAGAGACCAAGTGCCCAAACCACAACCCAAATCCCACTTATTTATTGCAAAGTGCCAGGGGCCCATCAGCACTGCGGTGCCCTGGGGGGGGGGGCAGGGAGGCACCTCTGAGTGCAAAAACCTGGGGCGCAAAAATGGGCCACCGTGCTGCAAGGTACAAAAACAGCTGCTGCTGCGCCGCAGGGTGCAGATACAAGGCACCGTACCACGCAAGAATGGGGCAGGGCTAGTGAGTATCACGCAGGCACTAGTCCTGCCTTATTTGCAGCGCGTGCATGCTAGTGGCCCCATGCGCGTACACACACATGTAAAATGCTTCCCCTCCCTTTTCTTCCAGTCCGCCAATCGACAATGGTTGGTGACCTCTGCTCTACCACCTCTACTCGAGCTTGCAAGTCGGCCACTTTGCCTCCCTTTGTGCCAGGTAGACCTCCTGGTGGCGGCCTGATGGACCTGCTGCTGGCAGTGGCATCCTCGTGCGTGCCAACAGAGAAGGCTCAGAGTGCCACCTCTGGCACCCGTGCCATAGGTTTGCCACCACTGCCCTATGCCATTTCAGACAAATGGCTGTCCAGTCTCTTCTTAAAAACCTCCAGTGTTGGAGCACCCACAACTTCTGGAGGCAAGTCGTTCCACTGGCTAATTGTTCTAACCTCCTCATGATCATGTGATCAAAATTCAGATGCCTGGCAACTGGTTCATACTTATGACCGTTGCTGTGTCCCAAGGTCATGTGTTCCCCTTTTGCGACCTTCTGACAAGCAAAGAATGGGGAAGCAAGATCTCTTCAGAACCTGGTTACTAACTTAGCAAGATTCCCTTAACAACTGTGGCGAGAAAGGTGGTAAAATGGAGCAAAACTCACTTAACAAATGTCTCACTTAACAACAGACATTTTTAGGCTCCATTGTGGTTGTAAGTCAAGGACAACCTGTAGAAGATTTAGGAATTTTTGGGAAAGAGTATACTTAGCCAGAGTCTCTCAATCTTAGCAACTTTAAGATATGTAGGCTTCATCTCCCAGAAGATGGCTGGCTGAGGAATTCTGGGAGTTGAAATCAACACATCTTTTTTTTCATTTCTTTTTTATTCATAATACAATTAAAACAAAAATTGACAAACATGACATTCCAGAATGAATTTTCCTATCAGTTTGTTTCTCATGGTACAAAAGCTTAATACATCGTTCTTAACCTCTATGTAAACCTCATCCTTCTATACAATACAATTATATATACAATTATATGTACAGTTATATATATCTTTTAATTCTACCATTAACTTGAAGTCCGAGCAGTTCTCCTTAATTCATACCAACAGTAAAATTTGCCCCATATTTCAAAGTATTCGGAAATCAACACATCTTAAAGGTGAAAAGGTTGAGAAACGGAGCTATGATGACAATAATTTCTTGGGGAAAATATAGGACCAACTGGAAAAAAGGGATAAATCTGAAAGAGGTTCATAAGGATTTTTAAAAATCAGTTGCTTATGTTAATAACTTGGTTTGCCAAAGTTCATTCAGCAGCAAAATGAAAAAGCCTTTACCAAAAAGGCATAGTGTAATAAAAAAAAAATACAGTCAGTCCTCGATTTACAGCAGTTCATTTAGTGACCGAAGTTACAACGGTGCTGAAAAAAGGGATTTATGACCGTTTTTCACACTTAAGACATTGCAGCATCCCTGTAGTCATGTGATCAAAATTCAGATGCTTGTCAACTGCTTCCTATTTATGACGGTCGCAATGTCCTAAGGGGTGTCATGTGATCCTCTTTTGTGACCTCCTGACAAGCCAAGTTCATGGGGAAGCCAGATTCACTTAACAACCATGTTGCTAACTTAATAACTGCAGTGATTCACTTAACAATTGTAGCAGGAAAGGTCGCACAAAATGGGGCAGAACTCACTTAACAAAGGTCTCGTTTAGCAACAGAAATTTTGGGCTCTATTATGACCATAGGTCAAGGGTTACTTGTATCTTTAAAAAAAACAGTATATTCATAACGTTCATGAAAATCTGGCAGAGTATTCCAGAGGGGTTGATGGGAGAGACTCATATTCCCATGTGCACAATTGGAAATATTGGGATGAGACTTCTAGAGTGGTCTTTTCTGCTTACTTTTGTGGTTTTTTGATTGGAAAGTAGCGCACCGGTCTAAGATAGAATAGCACACTTGTGATTCTCCAGCACAATCTTCCTTAGGACGTCTACAAACATCACATGATAAAGACCAACCTAAAAGCAAAGGATGGAGCAAGAGTTGAGTGGTTCATTTGTTGGATTTCTTTGTGTGTGTGTGTGTGTGTGTGTGTGTGTGTGTGTGTGTGCATTTCTTGGACAGTGTTAAAATTAGGTGGCTGCCTTGTTTCATCCAAACACCCATGAATGTATGCTAGACAATACCTTTGACTGTTTTCCCAAAAAGCACATTTAAAATGGGAGTATTTGGCTCTAGCAATAGCACTTAAGACTTATATACCACTTCATACTGCTTTACAGCCCTCTCTAAGCAGTTTACGGAGTCAACCTCTTGCCCCCAACAATCTGGGTCCTTGTATCACCAACCTTGGAAGGATGAAAGGCTGAGTCAACCTTGAGTCGGTCAGGATCAAACTCCTGGCAGTGGGCAGAATTTGCCTGCAATACTGCATTCTAACCACTGTGCCACCACGGCTCTAGATTCCCACAATATACTTATCCTAATTACAAGATTCACATGGGCCACTGAGCAATACAGGCAGTACAACATGCAAAACCACATCCACCCACCTACACAAATCACCCCCACCAAAGGTTAAAATTAACTTTCTGTAGCAGGCTGTGCAAATGCATTATTAGGTCTTTACGGGAGCTGGTTCAGCATGTTACAGAAGTGGAGCTGGGCTTTGGGACTGAATTAATTTATTTTCTAGGGTTTCATACTCCATTGAGCAAAAAGGGAATTGGGTTTAGTGGTTGAGTCACCAGGCTAGAATTCTAGTCTCACTTTAGGCATGAAAGCTGGCTGGGTGGTTTTGGGCCAATCACCAGGAGACGGTGAGTTCTATTCCCGCCTTAGGCATCAAAGTGAGCTGGGTGACTCTGAACCAATCACAACAGATTTCATGAAAGAGTGCCAAAATCTTAGGTGATTGTGGCTGAGGAATTCTGGGAGTTGAAGTCCACCCATCTTAAAGTTGTCAGGGTTGAGAAACATTGATTTAGAAGGATGCTTTAGGATTTTTCCTTACTTTTATCTGTGAGGTACAGCAACACTCCAATAATGCAGCAGCCCAAGGTAAGAGAAGCCATTAGAGATGGACAATTCCACTGGCTTTGATCTTTGTGCAGAGAAGACCTTTTTGGGGGATGGTCAATCTCTAGACTGCCAGACACAGTAAAATCGACTATTTCTCTCCTCAAAAGAGAAAAGAAAGACAATACAAATGAGCCTTCATTTCTGTTTGAAATTGAGTAAGAAGCACCAGACTTGAAAATGCAACTATATGAAGGAAGGAAGGAAGGAAGGAAGGAAGGAAGGAAGGAAGGAAGGAAGGAAGGAAGGAAGGAAGGAAGGAAGGAAGGGGAAAGAGAAGAGGATGGTCTGGTTGAAAGAAAAAAAATCAACCCTAACCCATGCAAGAACCACAGATGGGTTGTTATTGGAAACAGATTGAACTGGTGAGGATTTGGCCATGCAGTCATCAAGAGTTAATTCGTTAATTGGAGGATCCTGTGGCACCTAATCAAGAAGGACAGTATCCTCAATGTGCATTACTGCCCAGATAGTCCCTTTGAAGGGACACCTAGCACAGCCCTAATAAATCAAATTCTAGCAAGGCTGAAAAGGAACTCCGGTGGTCCCCACCTGAAGGTTTTCTGAAAGTTGCTTTAATTGTGCACAGCAAATTTTCAGGGCAGAGTACAATTGCTTTTCAGATAGTCCTCGACTTACAATCCCAATTGGCACCAGATTTTTGTGGCTTAAGCAAGGTGGTTGCTAAGCGAACGAATCCTGGAAAAAATTATGATCTGTTCTGCCACAGTTAAGGGAATCTCTGCAGGACATCATTAACTGGATCCACCTTCCTCCATGCATTTGCTTGTCAGAAGCCAAGTGGGAAGGTGACAAATGGTGATCACATGACCCCAGGATGACCCAAGGTGGGTTAATTGACTAAACTATGATTAAATTAATTTTGGATAAGCATATCGTTCCATAAAGGCCTCGCGAGGAAAGGGGAGGAGCCCATTTTGATCTTTCTGTAGGGATTAAGAGAGCAAAGGTGTAAGAATCATAAAGTTAGCGGACATTATCATATATTATTATTAGTTGTTCTTCTACATCCCTTCCCTAAGTAGCAATGTTATGAGAACAGGAGATTAATACCCCACCGTACAGGTGGTTCTCGATTTACAACAATTCATTTAGTGACGGTTCGAAGTAACAACGGCGCTGAAAAAAAATGGCATAGGACTGCTTTTCACACTCATGACTGTTGCATGACCATGGTCACATGATCAAAATTCAGGCGCCTAGCAACTGACTCACATTTATGACGGTCACAGTGTCCCGGGGTCATGTGAACCTCTTTGGTGACCTTCTGAGAAGCAAAGTCAATGGGGAAACCAGATTCACTTAACAACCTGGTTACTCATTTAACAACTGCAGTGATTCACTTAACAACTCTTGCAAGAGGGGTCGTAAAATGGGGCAAATTTCACTGAACAACTTTCTCACTTAGTAATGGGAATGTTGGGCTCCGTTGTGGTGACAGATCAAGGATTGCCTGTAGTCATAATGGTATGGAAAAAAAAAAACAGCTGGGTGACTTTGGCCCAGTTCCCCCCTCTCAGGCCAACCCACCTGATAGGGCTGTTGTTATTATGGGGAAAATAGGAGGAGGAAGGTGTGTTGTTCGTTTATTGCCTTGAGTTATGTATAAGCCATAACAAAAGTGGGTTAAAAAAAGATTCAAATCAATGTAACACCCAGTGGTGGGATTCAAATAGGCGAACAACCGGTTCTCTGTGTGGATGCCGCTTCTGGAACTCCGTTCTGGGACTGTGCAACAAAAAATTAGTTACCAGTTCTGCCAAAGTGATACAAACTGGCTGAATCCTACCAAAGGAAGGAAGGAAGGAAGGAAGGAAGGAAGGAAGGAAGGAAGGAAGGAAGGAAGGAAGGAAGGAAGGAAGGAGTGAGTGGTGGGATTCAAATATGTCAACAACCGGTTCTCTGTGTGGATGCTGCTTCCGGAAGTCTGTGCTGGGCCTGGACAACAAAAAACTAGCTACCGGTTCTGCCAAAATGGTGTGAACTGGCTGAATCCCATCACTGGTAATACCCTATCTAGTGACAGTACTGATTTAATTTGTTCCAATTTCCCAGCAAATTGAATTAGAAACTAACCGATCAATGTGGCTTCACATTGCACGCTGAGTCAATAACAAGTCATCAGGATTTAAACAGTTACCTGGAGTTGTTGAAGGCAAAAACACCTAACAGAGTTTAAACATGGCCCACGAATAGAGGCGCCTGGTTTCTAACTGCCTAGATAAGAGGCAGTTTGGAATAGAACTAGGAACAGAATGGAATAAGGCCTGTTGTGTAGAGGCAGTTATATAGACACCCTCTCTCCCCTAAGCTCATAAGAATGACAGAGGGTCTAGCTTAATTCAGCGTTTTCTGATTACTTTGAGACTATAATCTGTCCCTAAGGTGTAAGTGAAAGGGGAGCCATAAATAAATAAAGATTTAAATGAGGAACTAGAATACTGTATCTATAAAGGAAGGACTGAAAACAGGAAAGAAAAAAATGGGAGGAAAAGAGAGGAAGTCTTTGAGGGGGCCCGAAGTTCTGTTGCTAAGCAATATAGTTGGTTAAGAAAGTTTTGCCCCATTTTCTCACCTTTCTTGCGACCGTTGTTAAGTGAATCACGGCAGTTATTAAATGAGCAAACTGGGCTTCCCCATTGACTTTGCTTGTCAGAGGATCGCTAAAGGGGATCACGTGATCTTGGGACACAGCAACGGTCCTAAATATGAACCAGTTGCCAAACGTCCGAATTTTGATCACGTGATCACGGGCATGCTGCACTGGTTGTGTGAAAACCACCATAAGCCATTGTAACTTGGGATGGTCACTAAATGAATGTAAGTTGAGGTTTCACAAGTGGTAGGCCAGCAAGTAGAAATTCACATATTTTGTTCTTGGGACACAAATGGAGAATGAACTAAGAAAAAAGGGAAATTCACAGATAAGGTTGACGAATGAGATCAAGAGGTCATCAATGTGTCCTTGAACATGCAATGAATTGCTTATTAGAGGAAGTTAAAATTTGCCCAGATGCCATTTATATGTTGTACACCTGTTTATTTTTAGACTCCAAAGCTCATCAGCCACACCCAACAGACGACAGCTTGGGAACAGGAAAATCGGGTTTACGGATACAGTGCTTTACGAAAAAAAAAAAAAATCACACAGGGAATTTTATTTTTATATATGATACCAGCGGCATGATTTCTGAAGGCATCGCAAGGGTCCTAGATACCTACAATAGAGGAATGGTTAATGAAGGTGACAGAACTCACAACGATGGCTAAATGGGAGGCTCTTTGAGAGAAAAGTCATCGAAGAAGTTCACCTACAGTTAATTGGAAGCCTTTCTCGGACTTTTTGCAGGAAATAGGAACACCCCCCCCCCCCCAAAAAAAAATCAAATTATGAGAATAATTCTTCCAACAGGAATCCTTTATTAAGAGAAAATGGTTGCAGGCATGCTAGACAGGACTTGGGGTTCAAGCTCTCCCATTCAAGGTTTTAAGGGGTTCCCCAGTAGTCCCACCCAATCAACCCCCCTTCCAGTGATAGTTTCAAGTATCACAATTCCATCCCCTTGCTTCTTCCGTCTGGATGGAGACTTCAGGATAACTACATGAAAGGCATTACTCCTTCTTTGATATTTAAAGCTTAGAGGCCACAATAAACACACTTCGTCCTTTGAAGTGTGCTGAAGGAAGATGAGGGCCATAAGCCCTTTGCTCTCCCCCTTTTCTCCCTCTTAGGGCAGAATCCGAGAAGGCAGAATTAGGGAGTTTCTATGTTTTATATTAAAGATAAATTAATTGGATTCTGACATCCGGCCCCTCGTCAATAGAGAGATCCCCTGAAAGAAAACACAAGTAAATTTAGTTAGGCTTGTTAGGAATACTCTGTGTGAAAACTTCTTCATAGCTTCGGGGCTCTGACTGTGACGTTAGGACCACTCATTTTTGTGAGGCAGGGAGGTGTTTCCAAGGCAACTAGGTACTGAGTTGTTCGCACTATCTCCTAGAGTCCAAGGAGCTCTTATTTCGAAGTGTTGTTCACCCTCCACCATGATTGGAGGTGGTGGTGGGGGGATTTTTGGGCGTAGAGGTGACTGATGCTCTCTTTTCAGCAAGCTGCAATGAAAAATTGGGTGTATTTGCCTGAGGTTTTTGGGTAATTCTAATTCTACTGTTACTGGATTTATGATTCTTTTAATTGGAAAAGGTCCTATATATTTTGGTCAAAGTTTTTTACAGGGCTGTAGGGATTTTAGGTATTTTGTAGATAAGTACACCATTTCTCCTATAATGAATGGTGTAGGCTCAACCCTTTTTTTATTCGGCTTGTGCTTTGTATGCCCCCGCCTGCTTCATCTAGTGATTTTCTGACTATTGGCCAGGTGTTTTGTAGGTTTCCATCCATTCTTTTCAGTGGAAGGTCGTTGGTTCTTTTGGGGTTAACTCTGGCATAGGGTTGAAACTTTGGCCGTTGGCTATTTGAAAAGGAGTGTCCTGTGCTGAGTGGACTGCATTTTGTAGTCCTTCTGCAAAAGGAAGTAAGTCCTTCAATCACTCTGTTGGAGATTTAAAAAACATCTCAATTTGCTGCAAGTACCGACTGGCAAGCGTTCCCTTGTCCATCTGTCTGGGGTGATGGCTAGATGTCAGTCCCTGACGTGGTCCCTAAGAGGTAAAATTCCTTCCAAAATGTAGACGTAGATTGCACTCCCCTATCAGAGATGATGCGTTTGGGGTGCCCCCTGCCATCTGTAAATGTGCTGGATAAAAAGTTTTGCTAAGGCCTTTGCAGTGGGAATTTTTTGGCAAGGGATAAAGTGCACCTGTTTTGAAAATAGGTCCGTGACTGTCCAGATAACAGTATTCCCATTGCTTTCAGGCAATTCCACTATAAAATCCATGGCTATTTCCCTCCAGGGGGCTGAGGGACTTGCCACTGGTTGTAATAGCCCTGGCGATTTTCCTTGCAACCTCTTTGCTGATGCACAGGTTGGGCAGCTGGCAACATAACTTTCTATGTCCTTTTTTATTGATGGCCACCAAAATTGCCGTTTAATTAAGTGTAAAGTTTTTACAAATCCAAAATGCCCTGCTGATTTTTGTGTCATGGCAAAGTTGCATGAAAGTTAGTCTTTGAGTTGTTGGTATATATAACTTTTCCCCTACCCAAGGCTAATCCGTCTCTCCTTGTGCACACAAGTTTTGTTTTTTTCTGGAACCTCATCTGTTTCCAACTTTTTCTGAATTCATCCCAGTTTGGCTGTCCATTGTGGTTTTTATTTTGGCTTGGGTTCTTGTGGTTACTGGCGCTGCCAGTTTGTGACTCTGCCATATTGGTCTAGAGTCCTGGTTGGTTTGGCCTGTTATAATTGGGGCATGCGAGATAGTGCATCTGCCAGGAATGCTTTCTTCCTGGTATGTTGAGCTTAAATTGGAATTGGTGAAAATGCTGGGACCAGCGGGCTTGTTTGGGATTGAGTTTCCTGGGAGTTTTCAGGGCTTCTAAATTTTTGTGATCAGTCCATACCTGGAAGGGGATTTTGTTGCCTTCCAGTAACTGTCGCCACGTGAGTAATGCCCAACGTATCCCATAAGCCTCCTTCTCCCATACGGGCCAGCGCTGTTCTGTTTCCGTGAGTTTCTTAGATGTATATGCACAGGGTTGCAATACTGCATCATCATTTTCTTGTAATAGCACAGCCCCCACTGCCACATCACTTGCATCTGCCTGTATTATGAAGGGTTTGTCCATGTCTGGGTGCCTTAGTACTGGTTCGGCAGAAAAAAGTCTCTTTAGTCTCTCAAACGCTGCTTGGCACTCCATTGTCCATGTTAGTGGCTGGCTAGGTTTTACTGAGGATGTTCCCTTCGTTTTTAGTAAGTTAGTGAGGGGCAAGGCTATCTGTGCAAATGAGGGGATGAATTGGCAGTAAAAATTTGCAAAGCCCAGGAAACTTTGTAGTTGCTTTCTTGTGCGGGGTGGTGCCCATTCTAATACTGCTCTGACCTTCTCTGGGTCCATTTCAATGCCCTGTGGGGATATGCGATAGCCTAGGTAGTCTATCCTTTCCTGGTGGAATTCGCATTTTGAGAGTTTGGCATATAGGTGAGCGGCTCGCAGCTTCTTTAAAACCGCTCTGACAAGTTTGACGTGTTCTTCTTTTGTTTCGGTAAAGATAAGAATGTCGTCCAAGTAAACAAGGACCCCCTTAAACAGGTGCTCCCTTAAACGTCATTGATTAATTGCATAAAGACTGCAGGGCCCCCTTGTAATCCAAATGGCAAGACTTTGAATTGATAGCACCCCATGGGGCAGTTAAATGCAGTCTTCCATTCGTCCCCTTCCTTGATTCTCACTCGATAGTAAGCTTCCCTTAAGTCTAGTTTAGAAAAAATTTTCCCTTTCGATAGGTGTGACAGCATGTCTTTCATGAGGGGCAAGCGGGTATAGGTTGCTTTCACTGATTGTATTCAGGGCCCTATAATCCAACGCGTAAACGTAAGGATCCATCCTTCTTCTCTCTAAACAGGACCGGGGCAGCCACTTTAGGCTTGGTTGGCTCAATGAAACCTCTCTCCAGTTTTTTTTTATAAATCTTTCCATTTCCTCCTTCTCCTTTGGGCTCATGGAGTATAATCTGGGCTTCGGGAGTTTTGCCCCAGGCTTGAATTCAATGGTACAGTCTGTGGGTCGGTGGGGGGGAAGCTCATTCGCCCTCTCCTCACTGAAGACTTCAGCAAGTTCCCTATATTCCTCTGGTATTTCTGTTAATCTTTTTTCCTCTCCTATGGATGCTTTTTCTATTCTTGATTCTGGTAGCCTCTCTTGGGGTTTTAAGTCCATAGGGTCCCCCTTCGGGAATTTGATTTCTGTCGTCCTCCAATTTACCCAGGGTTCCATTTTTTCAACCATTCCATCCCTAGAATCATTGGGCATTCCATACCTGGGTCACCACAAACGTTATGTCCTCTTCATGGTTGCCCAGGGAGAGGTGTATTGGTAGAGTGGCTAGGGTAGCTGGCACCCCCCCTGCTATGGATCCATCTAGCTGGCCAAATGGATTGGTTGTTCCAGTCTCCTGGATGGGATCCCAGATTCCCCACTAGTGTTGGGCTAATAGGCAGCGGGGTACAGCCAAAGTCTATTAAGGCTTTTTCACTTCACGCTCGGGCATGGGGGTGGATTAATTAGTCACTGTTTTGGAAGATGGGTGTGATGCTCCCTTACCCAGGGGTTCGCTCATCCGAG